CTAGTTTATGTAAGTGTTGCTGCCACGTCAGCTTATTGTTTTGTTACATTTTTTCATCATTAAAGTATTTGGTTTTGTAATCTGCCGAGTTGAGTCCTGTTGGCGCTACTGGGTTCGTTCTTGTCCACCAAACCCTGACATTACGACCCGACCACACATTAGAACCCAGCGGGCAGGGCTCTCTCGGCAGCTCACCTTTTTTCTTTTTCTCCTCCGAGCCTTGAGATGAGTAAATCCACAATCCGGTGCGGCGGGTTTTGGACTAGGCCCGTCCGCCCACAAGGATGTTATGACCAGGAGGTGGAAATCCTGTCCTCTCCACTCCTGGTCCTCGAGGAGGACAGAGCTCGGTACCGGGGAAGCCACCGCACCGCTGTTTCGGAGTCCGCCTCGCCCGGCTACTCAGGATGGACGTCGGGGGAAGACGAAGAGATCGAAGAGGAGTTTGGTTTTGTTCCAGTCCCTCGACTCACCCGTCGTCGCCGGGGAGGTAGGAAGCGGTCTCGAGGGCAGCCCGTGGCGACCGGGCCGGTTTCGTCGGCTGAGCAGAATTTTAGAGTTGGTTCTGGTGTTTCTGTGGGAGCCGGATCCACCGCCTCACCTCTCAGGTTTTCGGTGGGGGCGAGGTCCGACGTCCCGCGGAGGCTCCGGTCCACTTCTGCTCGGTTCGGCGAGTCCGGTCCGGTTGACGTTACAGGGGCGGATTCCGTGGCCTCACCCTCCAGGTTCTTGGTGGGGGCGGAGTCCGGCCTCTCGCCGTCACATCGCGCCGCGGCTGTCCAACCCGGCCTGTCCGTACCTATGGGGCATGCTACAAGTGACTCGGTGGGGGCGTGTTCCGCCGCCCCACCTCTCAGGTTTTCGGTGGGGGCGACACCTGACTCCACACCCTCACTTAAAGACACTGGCCCATCAATCTCATATTCACCCCAGGATCTCGCTTTCATTAACCATTCACTATTAGATTCATTCACTACTGCTAAAAATAACCCGGACTGCACAAAAGTTATATTTTCTTTGATGGAGAAGTTTTTGCTTTCATGGCCCGGTCTCGTTCAGCTCCAGGAGTACAATAAATTATTAATAGAAACTAGAAAACTCAGCACACCCAAGGTCACCATCACTCATCCAGCACCCATCAACTTCACCGCACCAAAGGTCTCTACGTCGTCTGCTGCAGAGCCACAGGTCTCTACGTCGTCTGCTGCAGAGCTCCAGGTCTCTTCGCCGTCTGCTGCAGAGCTACAGGTCTCTTCGCCGTCTGCTGCAGAGCTCCAGGTTTCTACGCCGCCTGACGCGGCCTCCAAGTCGTCAACGCCGCCGGACGCGGCCTCCAAGTCGTCTACGCCGCCGGACGCGGCCTCCAAGTCGTCTACGCCGCCGGACGCGGCCTCCAAGTCGTCTACGCCGC